CTGCAGATGAATAAGTTTTAATTCATCCAAGTTCTTTTTTTTCAAGTGATTTCATGTACCAAGGGGAAGCCACCCAAGAGCTTGCATGGATTCCATAATTTCTTTGGTCATGAGCTTAACAATTGTAAGTAAATGAAGGAATTCAATTGTAAGTAAATGAAGGAATTCAATTGTAAGTAAATGAAGGAATTCAATTGTAAGTAAATGAAGGAATTCAAAATAGATTGAATTAATTTAAACAACTCTGACTCTGTCTTGGTATAGAATTACTTTACCTCTTGGATGATCCTATCTGACAATGATGATAATACTGTTTATATTTACTTACATTATAGTAGAGATCCTTGACAATAACCATGAAACGGAAAAGTATCCTTCCAGTACAGAATCAAGGTAGAGTGACTTTAGTCAAAACAATAATCATGGATCAATTTATTTAGTATGATAACTTCCAAAGTGCATGATTTCATTTTCTTGATAAGATGACAATTAACAGACTGTAAATCTTTCAATAATTATGGTAAATCTATGAAAATCACTGATAAAAACAGAAAAAAACATAATCATAAATATTGAATCATCCTTAGTTTTCCTGTGAAATCTCTTTTTGTAATCATTATTGCTATAATTTCCAGGTACCAAGGTTTGAGTGTATTTTTCTTTCAAATTTTTCAAAAACTCCTGTGTTTATTTCTCAATGTGTGTAATTTGCTTTAATGTTTTAGAACAACTAGTATTAATTCCAGTGTTCCACAAGCTCCTTCAACATCACTCTCTACTTCATTACCACCAARTACCTGTACAGCAAGGATCCCTAATATTGCYAAGGAAAGATCWCCATCACACTTCTCACAAACTACTACAAYTAACCATAATGAATCCAATGCTCAAGCTAGTGTATTCAGAAATGCACTTCAAGGTACAGGATTACAATTTAAGAAACCCTCCCAGCCACCTGGARTAKTCACCAAAGATGCAAGTGACGAAGGGACAGCATTATTGAAAAGAACACCCCTTGCYGCTGAACAGTGTGAGTTAACACAATAGTCTTGTTGGGTTGATGGTTAGGGAGGGGTTTGGTACATGTAAAATTAGGAAAATAAGTAATTAAYATAAAGAAATCACATGGTTTTTATTATAGTAATTTTTACATTAAAGGGGGGAATGTAGTGTTTTTGCCCCAATCAATCAAAGCTCCAAGATTCACCATACTGCTTTGAAACCTGGGAAGTTTTTGTAGACAGTTTGTTGTTCCTCATTCAGATTTGAAGTAGTACTAGTATCAAAAAAGAGGGCGAAATGACATTAGAAACTATCAAATTGGATATTATTGTTTAACATTTGAAGCTGAAAGGTTTTACAGTATTCATGAAAACTGCAGAAACTTTAGAACAGCATAATAAATATCTAGCTCATTATCACATCTGCAGAAGGTTGTAAGTTTAAGGTTTCATGAATATTTCATTCAATTCTCATTATTATAAATGATTGTCTTGAATCTCAGATTTGACGAATGATTTTTAYCTCAATGATGAGGAAGAACTTTCACCACATTTACCACCAAAGACAGTTATCCTCAGTGAAAATAATGATCGTTTTCACAATGCTGTAAGTGATGTATACTAATACTACACTATTTRTTTATGCAAAAGAAACTGTATTGTGTTATGTACAAGAAAGCAAAGGCTCAATAAGAAGCAAGCAATTTTTAAAAGGATAAAAAGAAACCAACACTTTTGAAAATAAAKAAAGAAAAAGTTTTCCTTTTTTATAYCAGCAAGAGATAGCTGGTGTCAGTTTGATAATTCAAAATCTCAGATCTACCATATAGTTTTGTATTTGTTTTCAGATCAAAAACATCAACTGTCAAAGAGTAGTTGGATTGTCATGTGAAGGAGTGAACCTRGGAAGACATGGAAAAGTTTGCTGGCTTGTGGTAAATGTCGTCAAACATGAACTCATTCTATTCAATGATTATGAGGAGCAGCTCTGTATTTTAGTACTAACAAAATCAAATGTACTTTTTGATTTGCCAATTTTAAAATTTGCCAATTTATTTCAGATTGGAAGTCGACACTTCACATATYTATTTGACATCATTTCTCTTGGAGACTCCTCTTTTGAAGATGGTCTTGGTGAAATCTTGGAAAATGGCAACATATTRAAAGTAAGACATATTTTATTTATTCTTTTACAATTTCTCATGCTGTTGTTTGTTCCTTGGCAAAAAGCTCCAAAAGTTGTCATTTTGAGAGAATTTAAGATGTATACCATATTCAAAARCGTTTTGACATATTCAGGGTAATAATTTTGTTTTTCTTTCAGGTTACTCATGATTGCCGTCAGATGAGTGATGCACTATTTCATCTCTATTCTATAAAACTTATCAATATATTTGATACCCAGGTTAGTCGATGTGATTCATAGTAAAATCATTTGTTTCTCAAATCTTCACAAAATAGACTATTCCACACTCACTTGCATAAACAAGAAACAATGGCTTCAAGTGGAGACTTGATTTTTATCAAAAAAAAACTCCATCCTCAAACTGAAGCCATTGTTTTATGTTCATCCAAGTAAGTGTGGATAGTTCTATTCACAGCCCTAGTGTGGATAGTTCTATTCACAGCCCTATTTCAAGCTTTTTGTCTCTGTCACCATAATAGACACCCTGATTTTAACTTGCTTAGTCGTTCGGTACTTATAGGATTGTAGATAGACCTTAGGTGTGTTGCTTTTACAGTTAATACTTGATACTAACTATTGATGGATTTAGGTTGCAGATATTTTAATTTACAAACAAGAAAAGGGTGGTAATCTACCAAAGTAAGTCATAAGGGGCAAGGTAATGCTATATGTGGGTCAGTCATCCATTACTGATAGGGATTGCAAATCAGTTTCTTAATGACAAATCTAACATCACCTTCATGTTCTGTCTTGTGGCCATGGGGCCAGTTATATATATAAATCTAGCAAAAGTTATCCACTRGATAAAAGCTATTTTATCCATAAATGTTGTATGTTGTACAATATGTTGTACAATATCCACTGGGTCAGATAGTATAAGTTGCCATTGGCATGGTGGCCTAATTGTCGAAAAATCAAACAACTTAACTAAAGGTGCTTTGTAAATTCTACTGTTTTTTTTCAGAACTGTCAATGGATTGGTTGGCTGTTTATATGAATACCTCAACTTATCACCAGAACAATGTCACTTTCAAAAAGTTAGAATAAGCAACATGAAGGTAATTTCTGGGTGTCAGTTTAACTGTCAACGTCATTGCTGGTGGAAGTCTAATTGCTTCAAACAAATCTGTTTTATTGTCTTCTGTAGAAATACTGACTTTGTTTTTTTTTACAGAAAGATGAAGCTATCTGGTCAAGGCGACCATTACCTCAACAAGTTACAGACTCTGCCGCAAAAGTAAGCGAGTCAGCCAAAGCTATCAACTGCTTCTATGTGCTGCACAATTTATTCTGTGTGCCTTCTTCTTCCTCATCTTGGTCTTGGTCTAATTCACCTTCCTCTCCATCTTATGGTGCCTCTCCTTCCTCCTCCTCCTCTTAGTTCTTCTTCTTCTTCTTCTTCTTCTTCTTCTTCTT